CTGTCAAACGATTAATCACATTCAAAATAAAAGTTTTTGTTTACAGAGTAATGTTGCGTGTTGTTGCTGTTGGTATGACAGAACACTCCCAGCTTGAACTTTACCAAAGAAAGATGCAATGAAAGGGAAATTCATTGTCTGAAGCAGTCATTCTGCCTAATGTTTTTGTGTTAAAGATAGTAATATGGGTTTGGAATGACATGACGGCGAGTAAATGCCATGCCATTTTTTGTGAACTATCCCTTTGTCCACATAGTAAACAATTCTAAACAATCCTATATTATACTTCTACATTAAGTAAGTAACTGATTGCAGTGTGCACCTTAAGCCATCAGCGAATTTCCTTTCTTTAGGTCATGCAGATACCAGAACCACCATCCCACTGACAGGACCTGGCCAGACTCCCTAGGAATACTAATGGTCACTTTAGTTTGAGCCAGTGTTTGCCAGACCTGTTCCTGGAAGCCCACCAACAATGCATGTCTTGGACATCTCACTAATCTGACACACAAGTTTTAGGTCTTTTAAAAATCTTTCAATGAGTTGAATTTAAAACATTGTTTGTGTGCCTCAAGGAATGACGTTAGGAAAGCAATAATTTTATATCAATTATTCTTAAAATTCTAGAAAAATTCACTCGGGGTTTGTGCCAGCTCTGCTCAGTTTCAGTACAGCTGCGAACTAGAGGAGCTTTTTGAGATTTTTTTTTGTGGAAAAAAGAAGCAATTAGACAGTCCATTATTTATTTTACTGATGACCCTTCAGATCTTCTGACTCCTACTAGGTTTTTTAATTAATCTGAGCTGATCTTGTCGTCAAACTGAAGCATAATACGTCTGCTCTTGATATCGTTCCTACCCACATTTTTTTTTTTTTTACTGATTTTTGATAGTGTTGGGGCCTGGATTCTTGCAATTGTAAATAAGAGCCTTCTTTTTGGGTTTGTTCCAGCTTATTGTAAACATGCAATGGTGAAACCTCTGTTGAAAAAGCCTAATCTGGATACAACTGTTTTATCGCATTTTAGGCCAATCTCAAATTTACCTTTTATTGCTAAAATTTTAGAGCGCGTTGTATTACAGTTACAGAGTTTTTTGGAAACAAATACTACTCTTGAAAAATTCCAGTCTGGATTTAGGAAAAATCATAGTACCGAGTCATTAAATTACATTTTGCTACTTGTTGACTCTGGGAACTCAGTAATTTTAGTGCTTTTAGATTTGAGTGCAGCATTCGACACGGTTGATCATGGCATTCTTTTATCGCACCTTGAAAAGTGTGTGGGCATCCAAGGAAGTGCCCTGAGCTGGTTCAGATCTTATCTTAGTAACAGAACTTTTTCAGTAGGTATTGGTCGCTATGTTTCATCTGTAGCTACTCTTATCTCTGGTGTTCCTCAAGGCTCTATTTTGGCTCCCATCTTGTTTTCACTGTACATGCTTCCATTAGGTTCAATTTTTAGGAAGCATGGAGTGTCCTTTAATTTTTATGCTGATGACACCCAAATCTATTTACCTTTGACACACAATGACAAGAATGGTTTAGAAACATTGCTTGCATGCTTAGCTGATGTAAGATCTTGGATGTCTAAACATCTTTTGCATTTAAATGAAGGAAAGACGGAAGCAATTGTCTTTGGACCCTCTGTGGGTAAAGGAAAACCAAATTTTTACTGTGGTCATTTAAACTCTTATATCAAACCAACGGTGAAAAATTTGGGAGTTCTTTTTGATTCCTCCCTTAAGTTTGACCAACATATTAACTCAGTAGTTAAGTCATGTTTTTTCCATCATAAACTTCTGTCAAAAGTTAGATGTTTTCTATCTTTTAAAGATCTTGAAAGAGTCATACATGCTCTTGTTTGATCACGTTTGAACTATTGTAATTCCTTGTATATTGGACTACCCCAATCCTCCATGTCACGGCTTCAAATGGTTCAAAATGCCGTAGCCAGATTTTTTACGGGTTCGTAAACAAGAACACATTACTCCGATTTTAATGTCTCTTAACTGGTTGCCAGTGCGTTATAGAGTTGAATTTAAAATTTTGCTGTTTGTTTTTAAGTCCTTAAATGGGCTGGCATCTTCTTATTTGTCAGATCTTGTCAATGTGAATAGGTCTGCCAGATGTTTGCGTATCCAAGATCAATATTGAAGTTGAAAGGTGACCGTGCGTTTGGGGTGGCCGGTCCCACCCAAAAATTAAAATTTTTCGTGGTAATTACATTGCTGTCTATGGGAGGGTCAGAGAGCTCTCAGAATTCATAAAAAATATCTTAATTTGTGTACCGAAGATGTACGGAGGTCTTGCGGGTTTAGCTGTCCATGGTGCTGAACTCTGTCCCCTGCATTGTCTTCCTTACTTCACTCCATGTCTTCACTGTGAATCACATACCCAAGGTCCATACTAAGTCTATTATAGGGGTTCGTTTTGTTTCATAGTTGTTAAAAATATGTAAATGTATTTTCAGAGTCATACATGCATATGGACCAGAGTGCCTTTCATTACGGTAAGCATGCGGATATTACATGGAAATACATATTTAAAAAAAAATATAAAGCCAATAAAAAAAGTATTTCACCACTCTTGATTTCTGAGCTCAGATTACGAGACGTTACGGACCACGGGTGTCATCCTTGCTGTGGTTATGTTTGTAAGCGGGATTCTTATTGCTCTGAGTAAGTAACAGCTGTGATGTTACAAAATGTTGTCATCATCAAGAGTGACATTTACCTGGCATTACAGTCAGTCCAGTTTTACTTCAGTAAGTGCAGTGAATCTCAATTAGGGCTGCACGATAAATCGAAATGGAATCGAGATCGCGATTCGACAGAGGCTGTGAGTGTCATGCGTATCTTTCAGTGAAGCACGGTTCTGTGATCAGCAGTAAATCTCCATCCAAAGGCCAGAGTGCGCTCTCGCGCTGAAACTCCAAATACGCCTCGCAGAAGAAACCCAGAAAATGCCTATCGCTGCAGCTGAATAAACAGAAGATTCAACTGCTTTCATTGATTCAACGTGATTAATAAACACATGACTACGGCAATATACGGTTTATCGGAGTTCTTATTATTATAATTTTCATTAAAATAAAGTATATTTATAATGCAATGCCTTTATCACTGCTTAAATACTATGAAATATGTTGCGTGCCTTATTCTGTGTAAGAAGCCACATCATCTCACAGAAGGATTCATTTCAAACACTCGACAGACGATATGTGGTGAGTTTGGAGTAAAAATATGTTATTAAATGTGGTATTTTCACATGCTTTCAGATGGAACAGCGTTTACTTCACAGAGCCGTAGTTCACTGAGAAGCTGTGCAAACAGCTGTCATTATCGCGAACGATTTCTTCGATTTCAGAATCGCGCAATAAAATCGTCTGCGATTTTTTTGCGTAACTTGTCAGTGAACTATGGCTATGTGTAGTAAATTCTGCTCCATCTGAAAGCACGTGATGATAATTTCCTGCTGATTACAGAACCGGCATTACTATCAAAATGCGCACGACAATCGCATTCGATTAATCGTGCAGCCCTACCTCAATCCACCAAACCATTGGTCTAAGTGCTTCTGCAATGTGAAAAATGTGGTCAATTTAAATGAGACTAAATGTATTTCTTACAAACTGGCTAAACTCTAATTGTGACCCTGGACCACAAAACCAGTCTTAAGTAGCACAGGTATCAATAGCCAAAATTACAGTGAATAGGTCAAAATTATCGATTTTTTTTAATGCCGAAAATAATTAGGATATTAAGTAAAGATCATGTTCCATGAAGATATTTTGTAAATTTACTGTGGTAAATGAATCAAAACTTAATTTTTGATTAGTAATGTTCATAGCAAAGGACATCATTTGGACAGCTTTAAAGGCGATTTTCTCAAGATTCCTCAGATTCCAGATTTTCAAATCGTTGTATCTTGGCCAAATATTGTCCTACCCTAACAAACCATACACCAATAGAAAGCTTATTTATTGAGATGTATACATCTCAATTTCGAAAAATTTACACTTATGACTGGTTTTGTGGTCCAGGGCCCCAATCTAAGTCCCTTCCAGTTATATTTTTCACCATCTCTAAATGTTTCTTTGCCCTGACAGGTAAAAAGTTCAAATGCTCAAAATCCAAGTAAGAGTTATTCACACAAATGTGCAGCCTTGACTGTGCATGTGGAATGAGTCCGAATAAGGATGAGGAAACGTCCTGAAAGAAAAAAGATGTACATCGAATCGATGGCTCCATGTCTGTTCACTGGAAAGCTCCTGTACTCTTTGAATGCAGCCCCTGGTTTCTAAAGTTATCGGTTTCTGAACTGAGTCTGACCAGCTTTTTTTTCCCAGCTCAACAACACTGTCTATCCATTTAAACAACAGCATGTTTTACTTGCACGACCAGATGTATCAAAGACACCTGAGTGGTGTTCATACTGTAAAAGCTGCAGGTTGTTCAATGTTTTAAACAAGAGAGCAGAAAATTTGTTGTTCTCACACCTCCTAAATCAAGAACTAAAGTGGTTAGGCAGTGTGTATCAAGAAGACTAGGCTACCTCTACACTGGCTACATTTGAAAATGCATCTTTTTCTCTACCTTTTGGGGTTTTGGCCTTCCATTTACAGCTCTGGTTTTTGAAGACTCTCTCCCAAGTGGATACATTAAAAAAAGTTTAAATGTAGACTGTAAAAGTGGAGTTATTTTAAAACTGCGACGCATGTTTAGTCATGTGGTGCAGATTGCACTGATAGATATGATGATTGAGTGCGACCTGGATGCACCAATTCTGAGATATTTAGCTAACAAAATAATTGGGCCAGAAGAAAAGCATGAGAACTTTATTAAGTAAGAAGAACTTTAAGAAGTTCATCAAGCCTGGTCTCTCAGTATCATCTAAGTGAGCTTTAATTACATTTTAAGCATACGCAGTAAGATGATTTAGCATTTTCCTATGTTTCAGCGTGGATAAGAAACTTTTGGAAAACTCTTTAAAACTGTAGTGTGGATGGAGAATGTTTTAAAATGAAAATGCTGTTTTCAAATGTATCCAGAGTAATGTAGACGTGGCCTGATAAAATGCTCAGCATGTCATCCTGAGATGATCTGAATCATTTGATTATATTGACGTTAGGCCCTTGCATTAAATCAAGCAACACCACTTACATCTGACTAAAGGAGATGTGCATGCTTGCTGAATATTTCAGAGTGCGACACCAGGGTTGTCAAACTCAGTTCCTGGAGGGCCACAGCTCTGCAGAATTTAGCTCCAACTCTAATTAAACACACCTGAACCAGCTAGTCAAGGTTTTCATGATTACTTGAAAACTATAGGTACTTGTGTAACAAGTTTAGCTCTGTGTGTTGGTGTGCTAATCTGAGTTTGACACCCCGCTTAGATGGACTAGCATGGCTTAGTGGCATAATTGTGGTTTTGTTTTTTTCCCTACAGATCTAGTCCAGTGGAAGGCCCTCAGCCACCAAAGACAGAAGGTACACTACCACAAACATTAATTAAACTAAAAACTACAGTCATATTTTTATTGAACGCTTCATAAATGTGACCTTTTTTCTTTTAGTTCCACCTCAGACAGTGTAAAGCATATGGTGCGACAGGGCGGCCCATTTCAGCGAGAGGAAATGCTCAGACGCACAGAGTTACTTATAGGAATGTGGAGGAGAGTCGAACCCGCTTGACCTCTTTTTGTAACCTCAGCCTAAATGCTGACCTGTTGCTGTATTTTTAGGTCTCTCGGTAGCACACGTGCTACATTATGTCTCTTTTGTGTTCATATCGTGTGAATGACACCATTCATGATGCATCTCACCTGGCCCCAGTTATTTTACCCATGCATGAATAGTTTGCTTTTAATGTTGTTGTTGTTATTATTATATGAGGTTTAGATCTAAAAGGGCATTTATGGAAATATTCACAGAAGCGATCAGGAATAATGATTAGAAAACTAGCAGACTGATTGAATTACATTGAAGAGCTCATGCGTCATCTAATGGATTTCAATCCTTTAGACAGATATGATGAAGTTAATATTTTCACTCGCTTACATTTGAATAAACAGAATATTGTTTGAATAAATATAAATAGCTCTCCAGCATGGAACTATATGCAATCCTGTGTGTCACTCTGTAACTTGTGCATGCCAAGTATGTAAGACAATTTTCTAGTTGTTTTAGTCTTGTAGTATATATTTATTTATTATTTGAGAATTTTAGTGCATTTTAAATACTTTTGAATGTGTTTCACAATTATTTTATGTCATATGTCAGTAGAAACTGAACTTATTACCATTAACAGTTTTGACATCAATCATAACAAGATAAACTGAAATGCATGACTTTTCTGTTTACAGATTAATCATTTGGATCCGTAAAGTCAGACATTACTTTACAGAGGGCTTAGGAACTATAGGAAAGTCTTGCCTTAAGAACTAATGGTGCAGTCAAATACAAACTAACTAGTAGTTACTAAGCCAACTTTACATCTCAATTTAAGTCAAACCTCACGAGCGGCTGATGCAACCCTTCCTTGGAGGTACACATGATCTTTTGTCCATTGTAACAGCATGAATATTTGACTACTGTATTCCTGTAAACAAAAGACTTTAGAAAGTAATACTTCAGTCCCCAACCAAGTGTTACTAAAAGGCAAATTACTTAATTGCAACTCAATGTATTTATGCCTCATGTATTAATACAAAAGCATCCATATATGTCAGAGAATAATGAGCCACTGCACATCTGTTTGATCAGCATGGAGGAACGCTTATGAATTCATTACAATTCCTTTAATGAAGGTTTTTTTCTCTTTGCCTTGAAATGAAGTAATTGAGTATGACTAAACACCCACAGCAGTCATAATGAAGAGCTCAATACAGTTACTATAAGAAAATGTGTTTTTATTAATCATCCAAATGTTAGTCATGTACCAAAGACATTTGGCTCAATAAAAGACCCTGAGTTACAGAGGTTTGTTCTTGGTCTTTACTTATTTAGCTTTATTTAATTTGGCTTGGTCAGTTGACATATAATGCAAAACACACAAACACATTAATAAAACATTAATGATTTGCAGAAATGTGGCTTATTAAAGATGACACTTCATAAACGTACATACAATCAAGCTAATTTTAATGCTACGTTATATACTCGCAGAATTCGGTTTTGTCAGATGGTTTCATTCACTGAGTGTTTGTGGTATTTGTTAAAACATGAGCAAAATTTCATAAATTAAGTCCTTAGAAGGCAGTTTTCACTTTGCGTTCAAACTAATTCTCATGAATCTCTTTTTGTTTTACAAGAAAGCGACATTAGCGTGTGTTTTCCCTCATTTGAATTTCCAGAGGGACTCTGGGTACTTCAACATGACGAATCATGCATATCACTGACTCAACAACAACAACAACAACTACAACATTTGAAATCTTGATACAAGATGGACACTGACTACCCCCACTTAGAAAACCCTTTCCTTTCATACTATTCCACTGAAATAACATTGTTAAATCATATGAATGATTCTGACATCTTGATTCTGTATTGAATTTCCAGAGGGACTCTGGGTACTTCAACATGACGAATCATGCATATCACTGACTCAACAACAACAACAACTACAACATTTGAAATCTTGATACAAGATGGACACTGACTACCCCCACTTAGAAAACCCTTTCCTTTCATACTATTCCACTGAAATAACATTGTTAAATCATATGAATGATTCTGACATCTTGATTCTGTATAGGTCTTGATGACAAAACTACCTTCTTACCTCAGAACCCCCTGACATTTCACCCCCTCATATATGACTCATCAAAATAACACATTCACATACATGGCTGGATGACACATCTCCTGTAAGGACAACTGTGATATCAAGTGTGCTGCTGAGAAAAGTGCATTACATAGAGAACTGATGTCATTCATATCAAACAATGAAATAAATAACTGATCTTCACTGAGTGAAAGTAACATGAACATGAGCACAGAGAATATGCAACATATACCAACCAAAAGCTATATAAATACATCTAAAAACAAATAAAGAATATTCCACTGATACAGTGAGTTAAAAAAGCAAACCAATATGGTTTATAATTGAAGGTGGAAACTGGACTGGAACTGACAGTCCTCATGACGATTTCATTGAAATCACTATTCATGAACATACTAAAATTTGCATGCATCTTTAAATAAACTGGGAAGCAGCTTTATGGTACAGAATCAATGAATGATCCTTCAAAAAATATACTGTCATACTAAAAATGATGCAATATGTGAAAATCCTCATAATAGGATACTGAAGATCAACCCATTCTTCTCCAGAGATTACATTTTTGGGGTCATTTTTAAAGCTCTTTCTGATCTTAACTCTTTTTAAATGTTTTTTTTTTTTTAATTCACATTTTGATGGTGAACGGTTAGTAAAATTATCAAGATTAATGTTTCGTGTGCATACTATTATTTAATCCAGATGACTGCATCTCTACTGGAGAAGATGGGATACGCTGGGACTAAAAATCAGTCCTGGTCACTCTTGGTCCTGTAAGGATGTAAAACGTCGCCTAGAGGAGGCACTTTTCTTCTTCAAGATGAGCTTGAGCTGAGGGAGAGAGAGCGAGAGAGGGAAAATGGTGTGTCAGCTACTGTGTAATCTGTCCTTTTCTTTCTATGCTGTTAAAAACATGGTAGAAACTGTACAAGAGAATGTTTTTGCATGGCACTTCTCACAACAGGCAGACTGGTTGTTACTAAAGAAAACCTCTCACTCTCTCTCCTTTGTCTCCGCTCTGCAGCAAATGAGCGGGCTGGTCGTTCTCCAGGTTGCGGATGCTGGGATCAGCACCTCGACTCAGCAGCAGCCGGATCAGTTCCTCCTGAAAGGGGCTTCCATGCAGCCCCGCGGCCATGTGCAGGGCAGTGTGTCCATGAGCCTGAGAGGAGACACACATTTATAGATAATCATGTCCACACTGTTGTCTGTTTTTAATTAATATGTCCTGAAGTTCTGTATATTAGCCCTGCCTATTTTTCAGTGACTCTTTCTTCCGGTTACACAGTATGTGATGGCAAGTCTTAATGAATGACTTAGGATAGTTCATGAAAATACTGTCATTAATTACTCACCCTCATGTCGTTCCAGACCCGTATAACATTTGTCCATCTTCGGAATACAAATTAAGATATTTTTGATGAAATCCGAAAACTTTCTGACACTGCATAGAGAGCAACACAACTACCACGTTCAAGGCCCAGAAACTAGTAAGGACATTGTTAAAATAGTCCATGTGACATCAGTGGCTCAACCGTAATGTTATGAAGCTATGAGAATAGTTTTTGTGCGCAAAGAAAACAAAAATAACAACTTTATTCACCAATTTCTTCTCTTCCGTGTCAGTCTTCGACGTGGGTCCAGAGAGTACCACGATGCATGCGTGAAGAGAAGAAATTGTTGAATAAAGTCATTATGTTTGTTTTCTATGCGCACAAAAATGTATTCTCGTAGCTTCATAACATTACGGTTGAACCACTGATGTCACATGGACTGTTTTTATCGATGTTCTTATTACATTTCTGGCCTTGAACATGGTAGTACCCTTGCTGTCTATGCAGGGTCAGAAAGCTCTCGAATTTCATCAAAAATATCTTAATTTGTGTTCTGAAGAAGAACGAACGTCTTACGGGTTTGGAATGACATGAGGGTGAGTAATTAATGACAGAATTTAATTTTTTTGGCTGAGCTATCCCTTTAAATAGATTTGTTCAAACACAATGATTCTTTTTTTAGGAACAAAACAAGCGGTGGTCTTTATGAGTAAGTAAATTAATCGTTCACTCAACTGAATGTTCACTTACTGTTTTTATGAGTAAGTCACTGGGATGTTCACTCAGTTTGTGAAAAAAAAAACTTTGATGCATTCAGGAATTAAATAAGGGTCTGTCCTATGAACGAGTCACTGAAGTGTTCACTCAACCAACACATTCAAAAACACTGATTCATTCTGGAATGTAAAAGAGAACTCTATTTATGAGTGAATCATTAGGTCGTCCACTCAACCAATTCGTTAAAAAACTCTGGAATGAAACAAGTGGCTGTCTTTGTAAGTGAATCATTCATTGAATCATTCGCTCAACCAACTGATGTTGGTCTCAACAAACGAAACAGATTTATGAGTGAATCACTGAGTCGTTCATGCAACCGATTTGTTAAAAACTCAGATTCATTCAAAACAGGAAGGAAAACACGTGACTCTATGCTGTTAAAAACATGGTAGAAACTGTACAAGAGAATGTTTTTGCATGGCACTTCTCACAACAGGCAGACTGGTTGTTACTAAAGAAAACCTCTCACTCTCTCTCCTTTGTCTCCGCTCTGCAGCAAATGAGCGGGCTGGTCGTTCTCCAGGTTGCGGATGCTGGGATCAGCACCTCGACTCAGCAGCAGCCGGATCAGTTCCTCCTGAAAGGGGCTTCCATGCAGCCCCGCGGCCATGTGCAGGGCAGTGTGTCCATGAGCCTGAGAGGAGACACACATTTATAGATAATCATGTCCACACTGTTGTCTGTTTTTAATTAATATGTCCTGAAGTTCTGTATATTAGCCCTGCCTATTTTTCAGTGACTCTTTCTTCCGGTTACACAGTATGTGATGGCAA